GGGCTTATCAATAACATAAACCTGTCTGTACTGTGCTGGCAGATCTCATTATTGGTTGTAAACTAGAATTGAACAATGTCTTCCCTAACAAAGGTTTAAAACTCTATAAGCATTGTATGTTAATGAGGAGGAGGTTAGTCTGTCCCTTGACTTTCTATGAGGACAGACAGAGTTTCTTGTCACTTCGAAATTAAGACAGAAGCTTGCAAAGGTCTTCTACACTGACACATCTAAAAGGTAATACATATTTTTAAAATTACTTTTAGATATGATGTGTGAATAAGAAAACATAATACACAAATAGTGGGGTTTTCTCAAACGTGACTGCAAAAGTGGAAATACACTTTAAAACCTGTGCTGAGTTAGTCTAGTGGCTTCCATAGCTTAACCCTTTATAAAAATGCTGCCATGTTAATGCAATGGAATCAATACATTGAGTCACTGATCCAGAACAAGTATGCAGATCAGGAGTTCTGACATTGCTCTGCCTTTCCTGATATATACTGTACTTGTTCTATTTCAATTATTCAGAAACTATTGTTACCAGAGCCAGTCATTCAACTTGCATTTTCAGTAGGCGGTGAGCATTGAAAGGCTCCAAATTTCTTCCATGAGTCTTCCAAGGTTTAAATAACTCGATAAATGTATCAATGCATATGCATCACAGAGTACTGAGAATGTTCTGTGCACACTACCTATAGGCACTTATTAACTTATATAGTTGTACATAATAATTTACCAATAGGGCAAATGTGACCAAATCAGGTTGCATGTTAGAAATAAAAATATATAACTGTAAGTAAATAAAGGGACACAAAACAAAATGAATACCATTGTATGAATAAAATAGATAAAAAACCAATGACATTGAAGCTACATTTACACGGGCACATAGGCCTGTACAATATGCAGAATGTATGTGTTTATGCAACCAGGATATGCCTAAGAGTCACAAGTCTTAGTGTACAGCCCTGGCCTGTACACCTAAATGACAGGCTGGCAGATGCCTTAGTTGTATGCACATATGAGCAATGATGTGCTTACAGGAACAAATGAGAAGATTGTGACATAAACTGCATACAGCTGCAATGTCTGTGAGCATGTCATTCATTTGTATAGGCTGCTGGCTGTGACTCCCGGACACATCAACACATTCTGCACGCTGTATGGGCCTATGCACCTATGTGAATGAGGCTTTACAACCTAGGGCATTCACATTTTCCATATTTTGGTGGCCATGGGGTTGATGAATAGCAAACTAGCTATCTCAACCGCCCACTGCTGCTGTCAATCAGCAGAGGGGACCTGAAGTTCTCCATCAGGTCCCCTCTAGTGATTGACAGCAGCAGAGGGCGGGTGCAACATCTAGTTTGCTATTGGATATTGCAAAGTGAAATAGCCAATAGGAATCTAGGAATCTAATTTTTTTTTTATTCTGACCCCCCGGGAGAGTTTGTTTTTTTTTTGACTGCAGCAGAACCGCCCGGCCAATAGAAAACAGTTGGGCGGAGCTAGCTGTCACTGCTAGCTCTGCCCAATCGTTTTCTATTTTATTTTTTCTACTTTTTTAACTGTTTTTCTATAATGCTCGGGACCACAGAGGGACCGGGCAGGATAGCCGATCTAGATGTTGGATCGGCTGAGTCGAACTCCTTCTGCACTTCAGGTCGGCCGAACATGCTCAGCACATGCTCAACACAATTTCACCAAACCTATTAGTGAGCCTCTGAATGAGAATAATCATACACATAATGAGAAATATCAGTTCTACAGTAATAATGTGACACCAAGCAGGGGCGTCCCGAGGCTGGGTGACACCCGGAGCGGTAGCCGAGTGTCACCCCGCCGAGACGTCACTGCGTATGCGCGTGACGTTACAGCACATGCGCGTATTCTGATACCTGCCGGCGGCCATCTTGGTGATGGACGCCGGGAGAGAGAGAGGAGGGAACAGTCACCCGGCGGGATAATGTATGCCGCCGGGAGCCCTCCTCTCTCCTGATACTGTCGGGCGTTCGGTCCATGACCGAGCGCCCGACTTTTCAGAGGGGGTGACACTAAAATGGCTGTGAGTCATTTTGGTGTCACCCCTCCAATGGTGTCACCCGGGTGCGGGCCGCAAACAACAAAGGGGATTCGAGGAGTCATATTTCCAGAAAATTATACAAATACGGTGAGTAACAGTAGTACAGATTAGACAAATATGTTTTCACTTCTATTGAGTTTATACTAAAATTGTAATAGATAACACAAATGTAATTTGTCCTAACTAGTGACATTCTATGGAAAGTGACACAACTGTGAATAACCTGTGTTGCTCATTACTAAACTAATTTAATTCAATGGGCCTGATTTACTAAAGTATTAAGTACCAGGAAGCGAAGTAAAGTGATCGTGTATTGACTCTGAACATCCAATTAGGGGGAGATGAAGCTCTGTTAATTCCCTTGGATATGATTTAAACATGTTGTTTAAACAGACAGATAGGACAGCAAGAAGGAGATAGACAAAGGAATTTTTAGATGTAATGTGGGCAAAATTTTTTTACACTTTAGGTGCCTGAATCCATATATAATTACATAAACAGTTTTTTGGGTTCCTGTTAATACATAGGTGCTTGATTATAATCAAATATGAAAGTAAGTTTTACAGTGCTACTAACTTGGAGCATCCAAAGTTGCTATCTGCCTCTTCTCTTATTTTGACATGATCTTAAAATGTAACTGGCTATTAGGATGCAGTAAAAAAATAACTGTGTTATATATGAAATAAATTGATCATAGTGGTTTATACAACTGACTGCATTTCTTCAGGCTTCAGAAATATTAATTTTGCAACTAACAGAAGTAATTTAGAAATGATAATCTACAAATAAAGGCTTGTACAAATTGTTCTGCCCTGGGTCTACACAGCCTTGTATGTGGAATTTAATCGTGACTATTGTTATTTAGTTATATAGATTTACATATACTGAATATACTTTTTGAGCAAAAAAAATGAAAGGAAGAAAATACATAATTATTAAAACAAGGCAGTCAAGCTTAGGGAAAATGTAATTATTGAGTATATCAAAACTATTTTACAGCTAGTACAAAACCTCCTTTCCCCAAAGTACTAGCTTGCTGTTCATACAGTTGATAACAACAACAGACTCTGATTTCACCAAATACACTTACTATATGATTTTAATTTTATATCTCCATATTTTCTTAGTAAAAGTACACAGAGTAACAAAGCTATTTAGTATTTTATAGCTACAATAAAAACTAATGCATTTTTTCCTACCTGAGGTTTGTTAAATCTGTGATGTCTTTTGTGTCTTCAATATGTTAGAAAGTGGTTTTGTTCTCTGCAGCTAGATGAACTTTGCTACCTCTTGTAACTTTAGATTCTTGTTTTTCAAACTTACTTTGCTAGGTAAATTGTTGTGTTAATATTTGTCTAGGTTCTCTGCTGTGTGCAAGCACAGGCAATGTGTATACATCTTTGTCTGCTAATTCCACATGCTGAGAATTACCTGATGTACAAACTTAGGCAATATTTTGTGTTACATTTTATTAATAGTTTATAGGTATGAATAGTAAAATTAGATTTGTGCAAAATTGTTGTATGTTTTTAAAGTGATGAAAATATATTTTAAAAAATAATTTACCAACAGAAAAATTTAGTTTACAAATCAGGTTACATCATGTACTGAACCTTCTGTATACAATGTAATCAACATAGACCTTAGACCAGTTTAAATTATCTACAGAAAATGGGGTGGATTTTTTAAAGGAGTAAAAGGTTAGCTCAATAAACTTTCTGTGCACATGATTAGATGAGTGAAATGCACCCATCTTCATGGAAAAAGTGAACATTTTAGCCTTTCAGTAAATTAAATTGGCTGGGTATTTATTTTGCATAACTATAAATTGTTATCATTACAGTCAGCTTAAGTCCCATAGACAGCTGTACTTTATCATGGTGTTTATGATTAGATTCAACGCATTTAAATGAAATACTTAATATAGTATACTGATACTGTCTATAGTCATTGATAACAGACGAAGCAATTATCTAACCACTAAATACTTTATTTATCCTGCAGACACACACAAGCGAAAAACAACTTCCTGTAGCTTTTCTCTGAGCAGTGTAAATGCCCTTTGGAAGGCCTAATCACCATTTGACCAAGAAATGGAGAGTCCACAAAGTGAGAATTCAGCACTCTTCCACCATTTGACATCTTGAAGAAGGCACAAGAGTTTCTGGGTTTATATTAAAGCCATTGGACTGGAAAACAAGGTGTGCATGGATTCTATACAGCTAATCACTTTTAAGTTGTGCAGATGCTGTCCAGTAAAATGTAAAACAAGCACAGGACTACTGTTGAAGTTATGGGCTTGCTTTAAGCCGTTGACTTCCATTATGTATAATGTATGACTTTGCATCACAAATGATTAAAGAAAGAAAGGATGAGGGCTGTGATCCATACTGTTGCTTGCCTACTGATCAGGCACAAGTATGCACCTGTGAAATAAAGGCCCAGGTATGGATACTTTTTCTTTGTCAGTGACTTACTAAGTAGTGAAGCAAGGGACAGGATAGAAGCCTGGAGCTTGAAACTATAAACTAAAATTTGCAGTGGCAACTCCCATGGTAATCGCATAACTTAATTAAAAAGCAAGGCTATGTTCAGTGCCTGTGAACATAAAGTACATGCATGTGCATAGCTATGTACAAGCAAGTGAGCATGACTTTGAAACCAAGTGTAATTTAACAGTCTTCATACTCACAGGCTGTGTTTGATTGACTCTTGCAAATCAGATCATAAGGTAATGTGTGTGGTAAGTCATTTATTTACTAAATTGGTTATTAAAAACAGCAAAATTACAATGTTGAAATGTAGAGTGCAGAGATCCAGACACCCTTGGCAAAGAGCATAGCCAGTTCCTTGAACTCTAGTGGATTTAAGCAGTACAGATTGTTCAAGGACTCATTAACAGCCTGCTGACTGGGCAATAAAGAAGCATTGTCACACTAATGTGATTATCAGTCTGCTTTCTCCTTTTATCAGCAAGTTATTAGTTTTAGATTGGTAGCAGTGTGTAAAGCAGTAGAGCCTGACTAGACTACACTGCTGTTCCTACCTTGTCGAGTCTGATTCTTGCTTTAAAGAAGATTACATGAAATGAATAAAAAAATGTCAGACTTGGATATTTATATTACTTATACATTTAATTAAGTTTTAATTACTCTAAACTAAGTAAATATTGTTGTTTCATATGTTATTATAATCCAGTTTTAGACATATACTAATATACATCATTTTCTAGGTTTTCACATCTATTTTGTTTTTTCTTTTATGCCACAAAATACTTTTTCTGTGGATGCTTTTTCTTTCATACTTAAATGTTACAAAGTAAATACTTTTCTAATGTCTGTAATAACTTCTGAGAAGTCTTCAATTTCTTTGGAATTAGTATGATACTGTAGAAAAAAACTGTATTAAAATGAAATGCCAGTGTGGATAAATGTAGGAGGCACAGAATAACTTTTTCCAGTGAGAGAATCTGGCTGCACCTGAGTGAACTGATATTTAGTTTTACTTTTATGCTAGCATTTGTATTAAAGGAAAAAGTTATGCAGGTTTGGTTAGAAAACTAAAGCAGATAATTTCACAGGTAAATACCTAGTAAACTTTAAAATGTTATCTGTTAGAAAAAAAACATTTAATTATTAAATATAGTAAAGGCAATGTATTACCGTGCATTAAAAAGTGCTGGATTTTAAATGGGCTGCTTTGCACCCAACACACTATAAAATGGACCTGACCCTTTTTTAATGCATCTGCATGCTGCATAGGACACAGATGGCAATAACAGAAACTCTCACCCATCACTGATATATCCAAAACAAACGTTTCGGCTGAAGTTGGCCTTTAAATTTACACCGGTTTGCATGTAATTGTACTATTACATGAAATATTTTTGTAGTCATTATTGAAATCATTCAATTAAAATTTTAGATTTGCAGATTAGTCTTAATCTGTGCTCATTTACATATGATTACTATGGGACTTTGCTTTTTGAATTGCAATGATGCATGAACATATTGTATTACTTATTGCCTGATTGTGTATAGCTAGAAAGAATAGGTAAAAGGAAAGGCTTATTAATAGCAAAGAAATATGTATCCTACAGCAATCAATAAAAGATTAGTTTTGAGTAACTTCATATTCTTAGGGGTCTATTCACGAAGCTGCCGAGGGCAGCCGAGTGAATGACCGATCTGAAGTGAAGTGAGCCGAACACTGTTCGGCTATTCACCTCAGGCTGGTACGGCTAATTTCAGCCGTACATCGGCTGAAATCAGCTGTGCATCGGCTTGCTTCGTGTGACTTGGGTCGGCCGAACATGCTAAGCATGTTCGGCCGACCCGAAGTCAATAGCCAATAGTAAACTAGCATTGTACCCGCCCTCTGCTGATGGACCTGATGGGGAACTGCAGCAGAGGGCGGGTACAATGCTAGTTTACTATTGGCTATTGCAATTTGAAATAGCCAATAGTAATGTCCCAATGCTTTTCAATGGGAATTTTTTTTTTTTCTGACATCGCGTGTCAGAATAAAGAAAAAAAGACACAGCGGTGTTTCTCTCCCTGGCGGCCGGGAGCAGGAGACTACTGAACCGAAGGGGTCCTGGGGCCGAAGCTAGCCGAAGGATCGGTTGAAGCTACGGCCAGATCCTTCGGCAGCTTCGTGAATAGACCCCTTAGAGTTATTATCATTCTGGGCTAACTTGTTAAAAAAAAGTATAGCTGCTTTAGTTGAGCCCTCTAGACAAAATAAGAACTTAATCTCTGCAGTGCAGGGTAGCCCCCCTGCAAGGGTAAGTTTTTTTAAAATCCCTGGAGTTCTTCTTGAACTCTTCAGTGCTGTCCTCCACAGTTATCCCTTTCCACCACAAGATGACCATAGTTTTCTTGATGAAAACTGAGTACATTTTTTGAGTGCAGGGTGACATGAGCCCACACCCTAAGGGGATATTAACACAGTGCCCTGCACTTGCAGTGAAATAGTGCAGAGAACAGTGCTGATGTTATTATATCAGAATCAATCTCTGAATCATTGAGGACTGCCAAACCCTCAAAAGAAGTAAAGAGGAAGCGTAGTCTGCAGTATCACTTGAACAGCCTGATGACATTTCGAAATGGCAAGTTTTAAAAAAGTATTAAAGGAGAACTATGGGGTTAAGTCTTTTCCCCATAGTTCTCCTTAGGGTAACTAGTTTGTGTCCTCCCGTCACCCTAGGCTCAGTATACCGCGAGCTGCTGCTCGCAGTATACTGAGACGCCGCAGCTGAAGCGGATCCCGACAATTGAGCCGGGATCCGCCCAGCTGCGTGACTGACAGCTGGCTCTGCCTATCTAGAGGCAGAGTCAGCTATACCCGCCCCCTCCCCTGTCCGATCCACCAGTCAGCGCTGGCGGATCGGAGCGGGGAGGGGGGAATCCAGCCCCCTCCCCTGTCACGGCAGAGAGCCGTGACAGGATCAAGAGGTGAGCGAACGACGGTATGTGTTCGTTCACCTCCCGATCTATTGAGCCGACCTGTGACACTCTCATTGTCACAGGTCGGCTAGAACTATGAGGTGAGTGAAAATCACTCACCTCATAGCTCTCCTTTAAATACTGCCTGTGGAACCTCTAGGGGGGAGTGGGAGCACTAAGGAGAGGAGCCCAGAGTTTGGTTTTAACCTGCATGGTTCCCATGGATTACGCTACACAGGTGCTTTTTGTACTTCATTGTTAAAAGCTGCAACACTATTGCAGAGCAAAAATTTAGCTACCATTTGTTTTTCTTACGTAGCTCAGTGAGTTACAAGAGAGGATGTAATGTATCTGGGACATACTACAATTTGTGCAAAAGTATGGTGGTGTACATTTAATATCTTACATTGTTTGGCATTATCAATGTAGATTCTGTGCAAGTCCCGCCATCATCATTGAAACTTGATTCCAGACTAATTATGTCATCAATAACTTCATCCATCTGTTAAAAAGTAAACATAATGTATATATTGTGATTGTTTAGGCTTTACAATATAAGCATAACTGGCATTATATAAAAAAAAGTCAATGTTCTTTACCAGTTAGGAACTAATTAAAGAATATGGTAAAGTAGTACTTGCTACCAATTTCGTAGGGTGGACGCTTGCTACAATGAAAGTCCAGTGCCAATCACTTATGCTTTCTGCCCACTTTGACTAAACGGGAACAGAGCAGGATATAACCTTCCTTGAAGTCACTCTCTGCTAAGTCAAAGTGGACAGGCAACATAATTGGTGTGGAGTTTTCACATTGCAATATCAGAGGCCAGTATTAGTTTACCATTTTTCTTAGGTACACTTGTAGAGAGTTACGCATGAAGAGGTGTTACTTTACATATACAATGTACATATTAAAGGTTTGCAACAAATAAATAATTTAAGTGAATGTAAAGCCAAAACTTTGTTTCTTAACTTTGGATACAGCAAGGAAAAGATATATTTTGCTGCCTGTGTCCAGCTGGGGAAATTTTACTCTACTTTATCTTGTAGAGATGCAACAGGGAATGAAAGGAAAGTGAACAGAATTCCAGAGTTTTCATAGGAATATGTGTGCCATTCAAAATGTTAGCTTTCCCTTTACAGTATATCTCATAAACAGTGACCACCAGAACAAATAGGGGGG